TGCGTAGGCGTCGCCCCAGTCCGCTTTGCTCTGGGCAGGAATCCCCAGTTTCTCTCAATAACGGAGCTGCCTCACATCGGTCGAATGGCCTTAGCTGCCTCGTTGATCGGAGCGTGGGCTATGGCAACTATAAAATTGAGCGTAGCATGTCTGTTTCTCCGCTTGAAGAGGACTAGACTGCCTCCATCGTAAAGGCGTTTAAGATACAGAGTTTTGGGTCCAACAGCGATATCCTGTCTGAGGGCGAACAGATCGCAATATGGTCTCTCTTGAAAGAACAACTAGGGCTGATTGTCGCTTGCATGCCTTGCCTGAAGGCGCTGTTTCAGCGAGTTCTCACTCGATTCGGTTTGATCACCGTGCCATGCTCTCACACCGATACCTCTGGACATCGTGTCTATGCTGATGTCAGCAGGTATGGCGGAAAGCATAGCAGCATCTACCGAGATCCTAACAAGGTACCGTTCTTTACTCTGAACGGTCAGAGCATCGAGCTGACTGATGGTGAGGATAGTAAGGCCAGAAGCCCATCATCCGCGTTACCGAACACGTTGTCGACGCCTCTACCGAGGATGACGGCCAAACCGGCCCCCCGGCCAAACCGAGCCACCCCACCACGACAACACTTTAACTTCAACACGCGATAACTCCACCAATATGACTCCAATTGAGGCTGCGCTTACAGCAATAGAATCGCTAGAGCCTAGCAAACAATCCAGCTATAGATACATGGCGAGAGAGTATGGTTGCAGCTGTGCAGCGCTCGCGCAAAGACACTAGGGCGTCTTAACCTTATACGCTACCCGCCGTGCAAATTAACGCGCTCTCTACCTACATTAAGAGCAGGAGCTCCTACACTATATCGAAGGCCTTACAAAGCAAGGTTTACTACCTACACGAGCTACAATACAAAATTTTAGCTTAACGTGGTTCACAAGCGAGTGGCCCACCAAACACCAGCGCAGCGCCTGCGCAGCAACGTAGCGCAACACCACAACAGAATATTTTACTGCAGGTAATAGGATAGTATTATTCAGAAGTATCACTATCTTCTATATCTGCTATTTCTACCTTACAGGTGTGGGACTTGTGTTTAACCCTACCGCAACGGCCGCAGTGCCTCTCTGCGCGCACCCTCTTCGCACGCGTCTCGCCCTTCTCACGACTACTACCCTCCTTTTCAGCTATCAAATCAGTTACCCCACCAACTGTAAGAGTCTCATCTGCTCGTACGTAGCGTCGCTTGCGACTCTGGTGTTTTGTTGATGCCTTGACTGCGTCTTGAAGGTGGTCGATTTTCTCCTGCATTAACACCATATTATGAGCTATCTGTTGATCGCCCTTACTCAACTGCCTAACCTGCTCATGAAGAGAACTGACTGGAGACCCTTGATGGATATGCATGCAATTTCGGATAAGCGTTGATTGCGCCTCAATCTCGTGGGCGTTGCGCGGTGTCTTCGCCTCCCAAGCGACATCGTCTGGTCGTGGTGGAGTTGGCGTACGCAGCCTCACATTAAGCTTGGATAACACCACCTCTGGGTCGTGTGGGACTAACCCAGCGCCCTGAAACCCAGCGCAAACGTTCTCTGGTGTAAATGTCTTCTCAAAAGCTGCTTTAAAGGCTGGTAGGAAGGTTCCTTGCTGATATGGTGGATACGGCTGCGTGCCAAGAGCGAGATCCCATCGCCGTAGTGGCGCTTCAGCAGCGAGTAGCAGACAACGTCAAGAGGCTGCAACAGGTGCGATGAGTGTGAAGGCATACATAGAGCGATAATCTTGTTCTCCTTGCAGTAGTCCTGGAAATCTACTGAACAATGGCTCTCGAGCCCGTCAATAATAAGCAACCTGTACGCCCCAGCAGAAGACACCTTTGTATGAGCGTTAAAGTGCTTAAGCCACGCCAGCGCGAGGTCGTTATTAATCCAGCTAGTAGGAGATACTGTGCTAATCTAATTGCGAGGCAGATCGCTAAACCAGGATGAGATAAGGATCTTGACTGCAAAGATGAGGAAGGGTGGGATAACGCGCCCTTCGACTTTCCATCCGTCTACGAAGTTGGTTGTCTCCATACAGATACCATATACGTATGCTTATTCGATATGTAATGTGATGCATACAAGGGAAATAGCTTAGAGGAACATTGTAGCACAGTGCTTTGGGTGGCTATGGATGCGGGCGAGGAAATTGGCGGTCCATGCGGTTTCCAACGTTCCAAGGTTGGGGAAGAAGGGCCCAGGCTCCGAGGCGGCGGGCGCGATGACCCACATCCCGACCCTTGGGAATGCCACGCCATACGCGACATGTTGTGTCACCATCCTTCACGACCCGCACGTTGGGCGAACATGCATGAGCGATCAGACGTACTTGTTGAAGGCGTGAGCTGACCCTCCTCGCCTACAACAATAGACTTCCGCCCTCGACAGCTACCAAGGCCTTACAGCCCGCTTCTGTAAAAGAGCATGCAGGTGATTGCACCAGATCCTGCGCCTTTCACACGGAGGCTTCCGATGTGGAGGAGCTACAAGCATGTTGTCGACCCTGTGCGGATCTCCGATTTGCAAGCTCCTGTCACGAAGCGGGCTCTGACGAACGTCTACCAAAGTGACGGTGCGCCTTTGCAGCATCTTCGAGTTTTACGTGCGAGACATAACGTCCACGCGAGACAAGTCCGTACCGAGGTGTACAAGCCTCATTGAACACTGCTGGTACCTGCGCGCGGCGTCTTCCCACCTTGCGCATTTCACGCGGCTCGCTTTCGGGTTCCTTCCGGTAACCTCGTACGCGAAGTGTCATTTAACATACGCGAATTGTAAAGGGAGGCTGGGTCATCTTCCGCGGAACAGCAAGATGCTAGAAAGTGCCATGTGGCACTGGACCCCGTCAGAGCTGATCAATGAAATGCTTGAACCAGTGAACGGCACTGCCTCCATCAGGGGTTCAGTCTGCGAATGCCTGTCTCGGTAAAAGGGCCATGAGTCAGTACGGCTATTTGTAGGCTAATCTGTGTGGATAACCTACCATATGGTGCTGTACCAACACTAGCGGGTCCGGTATACGAAACAATAAACTCTAAACCCCGGACCCAAGACCTCTCGGCTTGTTGACGGAAGCGAGGGAGCATGGGTTAAGGTTTGTCGCTTCGTTACAGGCATGCATGTGGTGACATTCATGAGCAATGGCTGGAACACCCTGCAGATCATAGGAGAACTGCTCATGCGTCGATATCTATTGGGTTATGCACCCAGTTCTGCGTCCTCGTGCGCTCTTCCATGATCTGCAATCAGTACAGTCTTGAAAAGTTGTACTAGTCGCACATTGCAACCCTGTGGCATGGCGGTCAACGATCAATTAGGCTCTCCGGCACGCCGAGCGGAGACTCAGGTAGGACAGGTGAGGAAATAAATCATTCAAGTGTCTAACGTAGCGCAGGCTCCCACAATTTACGGCCTATCCATCTCTTTCTTCATCCTCTCTTGCAGCAGTGTCATACTGCGCCTGTATACGAGGCAAGATACCGCTACTACGTGATGTGCGCAACTGCCAACTCATAGTCTTCAGGAAGAAAATATTACATATAGTCGGCCCCGATGATGTAGCCATCGCCATCGCTCAAGTACTGAGTCTCGGTGTCTCTATCACCACCATTTTCCAAACCGCGAGAGGAGGATTAGGTCGGCATAACGAATTTGTCACGCCAGAAGAGTTCGACGCAGGTATCAAGGTACTGAATCGGTCGATTTGTTATCATGGCTGACTCCTACAGGGTTTGATGTCGAATGTGCTCGTGTATAACGCAGCGCAAATCGTCACGAAAGTGTCGTTTCTTATCCAGTATCGCCGTCTTTTCCCGGGCTCCATCATACAGGCGCTGTGTAAATATGGGATCATTGTTCTTGGAATCTGGGGAGTTACACAACAGTAGATAACCACACTATCCGTGCTGGTATGCCTGCTAAGCGGATTATAGGTTCGTCACCGCATTTAGCTGTGTTCCACTATCAGTTATCAACCCATCATTTCAAGGTCGATGCATTGAGACAAACGTGTAAGTCGTCTCTGCAATGGTAGCTGTCTTGAGAGGTTTCGCTAACGCCAAAGGGTGAGTGTGTTTCGCTTGAATGGCGGCATGAATATAGCCACCGATTTCGCGATATTCGCTATACCTATATGGCCTGTCACACAACTTCATATGCCCCTCAGACGAAAGGCGCACCTCTTGGCAGTTTTTTGCCTTGGCTTCTTGTGCGTTCTCAACCCAACGATACTTGGAAGCGGTGATGTTAACCTCGTCGCAGTGCTTGCGCAGTTTCTATTGTCCGGCTTCAGCAAATCATCGTCAATGCAGATGTGCCAGACGCAACTTGGGCTAGCGCACGCACAGCGTACTGGAGCGCGGTCGAGTTGAACGTTGGCATCCTCTGTGCTTGCCTTCCCACGTTGCGTCCACTAATCAGGAAGTTCGCGCCTCGTCTGCTCGGATCTTCGAATGGATGTCACATGACCACACACAGGCTCGGAACGATCTCGTCAAGGCGGACCAGGTTAGAGATCGACAACAAGTCGAGCATCTACCTGCAAAAAGGGGGCGAGTTTCAGAGCACGACGGAGCTGAGGTCGAACGGAGCCATGAAAGATGCTACCTCGATGAGTGCAGAGTCGATGGATATGATTATCAATGAGGGCCAAGAGATCCCAAGCAATACGAAGCGAACATAGCCAAAAAGACATTTGATTTTGCGAGAGCTGATTCTGAGTCTGTTTCCGTAAGCAGTTATAGATGAAGTTGAGACTAATCGTCTATCATGTTGAGATGCCCGTGATATGAGCTTAAATACATGGAGTAGTGGGCTGATTGGGTCGATGGATTATCCACGTGACTGCAAGGTGCCCTGGGCTTACAACAACACATACACTCTCTTCTGACTTTTCTACGTTTAATGCATATATCATCGTGCCGCAGCCTTGTACCAGCGGAACATCGAGTTGATCGCGTTCGAGAGCTCACGACGGTTCTACTTGTCGATGCAGCATGTGTCGACCCAGAAGTACTGAAGCTAATCTTGGGATGCCTGCTTGGCGCATAATTTAATCTTTCGATAGCTGTCAGTCTCCTTACAGGCGCCGCTTCCTAGATCTTAGAAGAGGAACTCGGCATCTCCCCATGTGTGCGAGAGAATAGCATATGGCGGGATAGCCTTCCCACGAAAGTCGGTTAAGACAAGTTTGCCAGACTGATCGAAGTGGAGAAGCCGCATGACTGCTACAGCGATGCTTAGACGGGAGAGCAGCAAGCGCATACGATTCAGGGCAACAAGCTGCCCGAAGTGACTACGATGGCGGCGACGCAACGCGAGAGCGGACAGGAGCAGTGAATGCGTGTGATGTCAGGCTAGCTGCGGAGGCAGCCATCTGAGGCAGTGCACATGGAGGCGTCGGACAGCTTAGCCCCCAGCGCATATTACGCCATTTCTGGTGTTGTTAGAACGAATCAACGTATGCATGTAAGGGGCTGCGCAAAGTATGCCGATGCCTGGTAACAGGATTGTATTCGATGAAGAAGAAAACCTATCTACGGTGGTGCGATATCTATATACGTTTAGCTTGTCGTTCGCGTGGCATCTTGAAGCTTCTAGAATGCCGAGGAGGCTCCGAAGGTTCCACCGAGGATCACTATAGCATCCGGGCTCTAGCCCGTTACAATGCATGCCTCGTCGACGCAGTAGCTACAGTACGGTTTCCAGTGAAGCGACAACAGCATTATACAGCCCATCATCTGTCAGTGTTGCAGCGTAGAGGTTACAGGACTATTATCACTGCGGAAACATATGGACCCCCCTCCCCTGGTTAAATCACGTGAATTTTCCAGTTGATTACTAGTAGTAATTGTCACCAAAAAGCAGAGTGAATGTTCACGATCAGTTTGACATATACAATACGAAGTCTGTAATATGGGTGCTCGTGAGATCCTAAGTGGCTGGAGCTGCCGCTTGAAGGAGGCGAGTGGGGCGGAAAGTCACGGCCAAAATACTCGATATTGAGGATCTCAGGGATAGTCGCGATACGTCGTTACTCAGGTAGACACATTCCAGATGCCAGGAAGATTGATCAATGTACCGAGATCTGCAGAGCGATTGTTTCAGGACCTGAGATCCAGAACGATAGCCATGGGTGTGAATTTCCTGGTGTTTGGTAGAATACGAAGAAGCCAGTGTTTCTGGCGAGTGCGGGGTACTTGTCGGACGCACGTGGAAGGCTGCAAATGGACAGTGTGGTCAATAAACCGACCGACTCAAACCGTGGCTGGTGAAAAACCCCTGTTTTGGATCTGACGTAAGCAGAACACCAAAACCTGTACAGCCGCGCATGAAAGCAAGTAGTTAAGATAACTAGCTAGAAATCTTTCTAGGGATAGATGTTAGCTATAGGTATAGTATATTAAATTTTTAAAGTATTTAATCAAGAGCTCGCTTTAATGCGTAGCTACAAAGGTTTTAATGTTCTGCTTACGTCAGACCCAAAACAGGGGTTTTTCACCAGCCACGGTTTGAGTCGGTCGGTTTATTAACCACACTGCAAATAGAACCCCGGACGTGCATGGCGCTACGTGGTTCGTCGTACAAAGGCAAACTGCACGTCGGGCGCCGCTTTTACAACACTAATTAATCGGAATACTTTTTCGGAAGCAAGAGTGCCATTTTCATGACTAGATAGAGGCACTGCTGTCGCGATCTGATCATACATGCGAGCCGGTGCTGGTGCTGGTCACGGGTTTCTGGAAGGTTCTATCAACATGTCCACTTCTATTTTTAGTGAATACCCTTTGTTGGCCAACTTGGCGCAGCAACAAGACGGTCGCTCAGGCAGTCCTGCCTCTCAATTCTGAGATCTTGTAGAAACCCATACTCATCGTCAGCTAACATAGACAGAGCCTGCCAGGCATTAGCGAAAGGTGTGCCTAAAGGCGTACGTCGATGAGTCGTTGATAGCGTACCTTGCGCGCTTTGAGCGCCTTACGTACGAGGCTAAGGCCTCCTACTGGCCGGACACCTCTCGGAAATCCCGTGCCCCACTGTGGCCTCCCGCCGGTCCCTTGAGGAGTCAAGTGACTCTCTGCTATGGCGCAGATGATCACTGGATCAACGCCTGCCCGATAGCCCGCCGTGCCCTGCCCCGCACACAAATTTGACTACCCGTCGCCCTGGGTCCCCTTGTCGCAACCATAATCACTGACCGCGGCTACTTTTGGGAGGGGGGTAGTGTCACTGTACGCTTTTGCTCCCTACGACACGTGCCCTTCCGCGCTTGCCTACGCGCACTAGCCCTGCGCGGGCTCTCGCTCTCGCTCTGACTTGGCACCTCGGCTCTAGTCACTCACTCAACTAGCAATCCGTCGCACAGCCAAGCAGGCTGCAGCGTCTGGGTCGAGAAGTTCAAATATTTGCTGTTACTTTGTCTCTCTCTACCTCAACCTCAACCTTCCTAATCACTATAGTAGTCGATAATTGTCAAGCAATAGAGTCTTTATAGATACGAGATGCACCGCGATAGTGGAAGTAGAGGTATATTGCCTTGTAAGACTAGAGACGAACCGCTGTCGAGCCACAACAGCGGTAAGGTAGGCTAATATACTGCGATTGCTTGGCATACCGGCCCGAACGGGCCCGGAGTAACCTGGTGCCTGACAATAATTGCAACTATGAGTTCGCTGTTGCTCACAACGCCACCCAATGCTTTACCAGCCCTTCTGCGACTTGCATCCAAGTTGCATTTAACGATCATCTCGTTTCTCCCAGATCTCAAGGACGCCAAAGACGGAGATGATCTAGCACTTCTCCAACTTCGCCGAACAAATCATTACTTTCGCAACCTTGTACCTCCTCCGACCCACAGCGATCTTCTCTCTCTCGAATTAGCTTTGTTCAAAGACCATGTATACGCCTGTAAATTCTGTCTTTGTCTCCAGCCAATGACAAAGTTGGCTTCAGCTATGCTCAAAGGCAAAACAGGCGTTAATGGCAAAGCCCGGGATAAAAGATTTTGCGCAGACTGCGGATTCGATACTACTGTTGTCGGGCAGAGTCAGTGTAAGCAAGGGGTGATAGTAGTATATGATCTCATGTATGAGTGTATTGTTGTGTGTATGTACAAGTGTGTGTCTAAACTCTGAAATAGTCGGACGTATTAGTCATGACTGCAGAGCAGTCATGTGATGTAGTCCTAGGCTTACAGTTCCGCACACAGAAAGTCGGTAAAAGTACCCTCTGTCTAGATCTAAGAGAATATTATATACCTAAAATGTACTAATAGGGTAGAGTTAGGTTGCCCCTAGGGGCAAAAGGACTAAGAAGGCTGCCCCTAGGAGCAAAGGACGTAAGCTACCTTTAGGAGGACTTGACTCGAGTTAGACTATAACTGAAGTGCTAGTTTCGCCCATGGATTGACTCTTTCCGCACCTCATCGTAATAGCATTGATAGCATATATTCCTGCTTCGCGGTAAAAGTGCAGATTTACGACTCCTCAACCTTGTTGACCACTGTTCTTATCTTCCTTCCACTTCCATCTTTTCTCCGGCTTTCCCCTCCATAGCGGCTTTGATACCGGAGCAACACAACATCGACGAGAACAACGCACTACCCAACCACAATGATGCGTTGACGAGGTTGCACCAGCCAGCGACTCTCATCCTGCTAGAGTCTACGACTGAATAGTCTGCCGGAAGTTCGCCATTTAGATACACGCCATAAAAGACGCTAAAGCAGGCGATCCACAATATAGCTAATGACCACTCGATAGCGCAGATGAACCGGTAAGATCGTATTGTTACGCTGTCAATGATCAGAGTCAAAAGGGTGAGACTGAAGACGACTTCTGCATAGACGAAATTTGTGATTGAGGCAGAGTATCGGTGGTCGAGTTCTATGGTGTAAGAGATACCCGAAGCAAGGGCGAAAGCAAATTGTAGGAGCCTGACAGCTGGTCGGAAGAGCGAGAGAACGGGCTCGTCAAGCCTAGCGTTGATGGCGGCTTTGAACGACTTTAGGTTGATGAAGCGTGTTTGGAGATAAGATTGAGGTGGTATCGAAGATTTTGAAAAAGATGAAGCGGAATCAGCACCGTCGTGATAGAATCCGGCCATGCTTTCTTCATCCACGTTATTGAACCCCTTAGCTTCGCTCATTTTTGCTAAATTCTCGGCTCTACCCTCGTTGTTGATCTCCTTGGGAAACTTCCTTAGATCCGAAGTAAATTAAGATAAGAAGTGACAGGGTGGAGTTTAGAAAACCAAGCGAAGAGGAGACTTTGCAGAGAATATATACGGACTATTCAAGCGTCTGATGCGGTTTCCTCGAGGTGATGAAACTTAGCGCACGGTCTATAGAAAACAGCCTCAGGCCATTGTAGTCCACAGTGTGATGACCATACCTCCAATACATTATCATATACCTGTTTAGGTCTAGCTAAGTCCTCACAGTAAATACGAGACCTGCCAGGCTCGTTAAGGCTTGCAGATGGACCCAAAATAAAAAATAGACACGTCATGATGCACAGAGTCGTAAACACAAGCTTACAACGCGCAAATAAGCTGAATTGGTTGCCTCATGTGCCACTTATCTTGTTTAAAGGAACTCAAGATACATGAAGGCTGTGTACCGGTAACGTGGTCCACCAGCGAGCGCCGCAGTTTCCCCACCAAATCGCCTGCGCAGCAACGCGGCGCAACATCACAACGAACTATTATACTGTAGGCAATATAATAGTATTGTTCAGAAGCTTCGCTATCTTCTATATCCTCTGTTTCTACCTTACGGGTGCGGGAGTTGTGCCCAACCTTACCGCAACGGCCGCAGTGCCCCTAGAGATACATGCCTAACCGGACTCAACCCTGCATCTAGTTTGTGACGTTCTAATTGGCTGGCATACATATTAGTGATCCGTGCCACCCTTGCTGAACTCGCCCCATCAACCGTCGTTCGTGACAATCAACGTACTCACATAACTTCCCTTTGTTCGCAATGTTTCCTAGATCTACTCGGAACCTGTGCATCATCTATGTATACATATGATCTTACTTAGAATAAGCTGAAAATGATCTCGCAAGTATAAGTAGATAGTGTAAGGGGCTACGCTCAGGGAGCTATCGCACAGGTATACTAGAGTTGTATTCGATAGAGAAGAGAACTACAGGTAGCTAGGGTTCTGAAGGTCGTTCAGGGGGCGGCGGCTCGGGATAACCTTCTGCCGGGCTCGCTTGCACAGAATCCGGGTGCTCAGGGGGGGCACCCGGAATCTGTGGACAGTGCGCCTCGCGCACGTGACCGAGATATCATCGAGGACTCACCAACTGGGCTCCAGCCCATCACAGATAGAAAGACTATGTGCCGCACGGATAGGTGCGGTGTTGCAAATACGAGAAATTATGAAGTGTGTATGTCTTGTATTGTTCTAGCATCATAGCTCAGCTTATATGGAGGTCATCGCACGGCGTTATTAGTAATAAGGTTCATGTTCCCGACAGCGCTTGGCCTGCGACACTATGCTTTAACAATGCGTAGATCATTTCTACTACGAAAATGTAAGGCAGACTTCACGCGCAGAAGAGCGAACTGGTTGAGTAGAAGCTTGTATTCGGAGTAGAGAAAATAGCAGACGCAGACCCTAGAAGAGGCAGAGCGTACGCGTGTCACGGCGCTGACCTAGATAGCCTATTAGAGCGCGCCAAGCTGCTAAGCGAGCAGCTGCGCGATCGCTGAAATTCCTGCGCGAACGCGCCCTGTCGTACGCTCCTTGAGCTACGTCCTTGTCTTAGCCTGACCCCGTACTGTCAGCGATATCGTAGTGAATATACTGATCACGTGCACCTATCTTCCCTGCCTGCCGACCCCGTGACACAAACCGACTCAAACCGACCGACGAAGCCTACCTATTCAATTAAACCGACCGACCAAAGCCTCTGGTTTGAGTCGGTCGGTTTATTGACCACACTGTGCTGGAATGCTGCTTGACCATATGGTAGTTATTTTCCATGCTAGGTGTAATAGCGGAGCCTTGTCGGTTGCTGTCGGGCAGGCTGAGGCCTTCCGTATTCTTAGCGGTATATCGGCCAAGTGACGTTGAAGGAGAATCCAAAACGAGGTGATGCTGATGCTGAGGACGGAGGAACGGACTTAGTAGGCGGGGATCGAGGCGGTGAAGTCGTATATCCGCCTCACTCGACACAGGGACGCAAGGAAAGACAGCACCGTGCTACTCTAAGTCAAAAGGGAAAGAGATCCTGCTGACAGACAAGGTTAGGGTTCTTGGGGCGGTGTCGGACTAGAGCTGCCGTCTTAGACGCACCTCGCCGATAAAGCAAGAAAGGCTACAAAGGTGACGTTGGCGTTGCGCAGACGGAAGGGATTGATCCTGACGACGGTTAGAGGAGCTGACGAGGAGCGCGCAGTAGCGGATTATGCGTCGCTGATCATCAAGGGCTTCCGCATGGTCGCGCGATCAATCGCGGGATGTGGAGGCCCGGATTCGCATTCGGGGTACCGGTATCGATCCACAAGCCCGGGCCATCGCACCATTGGATGCGGCCATCATCCACGACCAACAACCTGAACAGGTGATATCTATGTAAATGAATCTGTGCGCAACGCATGAACGGGAATTGCCATCTTCACAAATACAACGCCTCAAAGGCAGTGGCAGGCTCCGGGCAGGCTCCGGGCAGGCAGACCCCCACCTTACCGAACTGCTAGCCATCAGCGAGTCAGTTATATCCGTAGTGGACTCTTTTACCCGGGCCAATACAATTGTCTCTCTCAAGATCAACTCTAGGTTCACGCAGCCAAGTCACGTCTAAAATTGCTGTTCATGGCTGACACCGTAGAGTGTAAAACAAAATCGATCCTGGCTGTGTCATCTTGAGACCAAAACCAAGGAGTACTATGGCAAGAACCTGCAATATCAATTTAACCGGCCACGTGTGGCTTGATGCGTGTTCCTCGCAGGAGCAAGCCATATGAACTTTATTTCCGAATGGTAATGTGATAACTATCTGTCGGACGGTTGGGTGCGGTGTTGCAAGTACGAGAAATTATGAAGTGTGTGTAAGTTGTATTGTTTTTAGCATCCTAGCTCAGCTTATATTCAGGCCCTCGCACGGCATGCTTAGTAACAGAGTTTAGGTTCACGAAAGCGCTTGGCATGCGACACACCCCCTCAGAGCTCATTCAGTCTCAGATGAGGTCTGATTGTTATTAGAGTTTGCCTCTTCGTGTCGATGCGCTGGATCAATCCGCGATGAGATATCAATCAGGCCTAAATGACGTACAAATTGAGAGTGCTTTTCTGCTGAGAGTGGTTTGGTGAAGCCATCCGAAGGCATTTCGGTCGTTGGAACCCATTGAACTGTGACTTTGCCGTCTCTGTACACCTGCCTCAGCCATAGGCTATGGATGTCAACGTGTTTTAGCTTTGATGACGTCTGAGGTCTGTCCTTCTAGATCAGCCCTGTGGTCTGCTGGTTATCACAGAGTATGCGAGGTTGATGCTCGGGATCGAACTGTATCTGCTTGAACAACCGGTATAGACCTATTGTCTCCTTCGCTGTGTGTGACAGCGAGAGTAGCTCAGCTTCAGTTGTTGACGTGGTTACAGTCTTCTGTTTAGACGACTGCCACATAATCGGTCCCTTGAACAGCTTCATGAGGTAGCCCTGCGTGGATCTTCGAGTCTCTAGATCATCCGCAAACGATGCGTCGCTTGACAGCTGAAGTACCTCTTCATCGCGTGTCTCTACTTCAGTGGAAAATACCACTGAGCCCAAGAACTCGATGGCATAGTACTTCGTGGCCTGGAGATATGCGAGAACTCGGTTCGCGTAACGCAGGTGCTCCGGTGAAGGGTTCATAGTGAACTGACTTAACTAGCTGGCTGCAAAAGACACATCGGGTCGTGATACTACTGCTGCGTACAGGATCGAGCCTACCTTTTCTTGCATCTCTGTGATCTGATGAAGTGTTGCTTGCCCTTCGTATTGCTGAGGACGATATGACGAGAGGAGAGGCGTTGTAGCCGTTCTTCCAGAGTCGTCTATGCCGAACTTGGTACAAATCTTCTCAATGTACCCGTGTTGGCTGATCCAGAGCTTCTTGTCTCTAGTGTTTCTAAGGATGCTGATGTTGAGGAAGGAGATTGCTTCGCTCAAATCCTTGATCCCGTACCTGCTGTTCAGTTTTAGCTTGAAGTCTTTGATAGAGTGAATACTTTCTAGTTGTGCAATGACAAGCATATCATCTACATAGAGAAACAGGATAAGCCCTGTTTGGTTGTTTATGAGGATACATGGTTCATCTGGGCAATGATTGAATCCTAGATCTTTGAGGAACGAAACGAGTTCGTTGAACCAGAGTTTTGGTGATTTACGCAGGCCATACAGCGCCTTTTGCAGCTTCCAGACTTTCCCTGACTGTCGGTACCCAGGTGGACAGGTGGTGTATATCTCCTCGTCTATGTCTGCATTGATGAAGGCATTTTTGAAGTCGATTTGATGACAAAGAAGCCCAAATGCGCAAACAAGAGCCATTAGGATACGAAAGCTGCGATATGCGCCAGTTGCTGCATATATGTCATCGGTGACCTGATGTTGTAGATCGCCTCTAACGCAGATCCGCGCTTTGTGACGAACGAGGTAGCCAGCGTCGTCAAACTTGTATGTAAACACCCATTTGAGTGGAAGTACTTGCTTGCCGTCTAGGTGGTCCACTAGTTCAAATGTTTTCTTCTCTTCGAGCGATGCAAGTTCAGCGTCTGTAGCATGCCGAAACCCTTTGCCTTCAGGATGTCGCTTTAGCTGATGCCAGAAGTCTAGTGGCGGCAATAGGTCTTTCTGGTGTGTGCGAATAGACTGTGCTGCCGCGAAAGCGTGAGCCACTTGCTGACCGAGTCTAGCACGCTCTAGTCGAAGAGCATGAGCTTCGCGTCTTGCTCTCTTTTCTGTATATCGTTGCGTAGCATGTGTGTGGGAAGAATCAACGGCGTCTTGCCCTCTTTGCGACAGTCGGATATTTCTTCTAATACTAGTGCGCAAGTTTTGGAGAGCAGTTGCGTCGGTATTAGTGTCTCTCCCTGTTCTAGGTAATTCTTGTGTAGTGCTTGTTTGGCGTAGAGCTGATGCGAAAGATACTGGAGTGG